GTGCAGAGGAGAGGGGCAGAATCACCTCCCACGACCTCCTGGCCACGCTTCTCTTGATGCAGCCCAGGAAGGGGTTGGCTTTCTGGGCTGCCAGTGTGCACTGCCAGCTCATGTTGAGCTTCTCATCCACCAACACCCTCAAGTCCTTCTCCTCAGGGCTGCTCTCGGTCCATTCTCTGCCCAACCTGTATTTGTGCCTGGGATTGCCACGTCCCATGTGCAGGACCCTGCACTTGGCTTGGTTGAACTTCATGAGATTTACATTGGCCCACTTCTCAAGCCTGTCCAAGTCCCTCTGGATGGCATCCCTTCCCTCCAGCTTGTCATCTTCCCTTTCAGAGCTGGTAGAGCATGATAAAAGATCACTCAACCAACATGCTCTAAGTTTTCCTTGCTTTCCTTAGGGTAGTTACCAGGCCTCCAAGGCACATTGTACTGCTGCTCAGTGCAAGGTTCTGCACTAGGTGCTTTGACAGATTTGTCCTTCTGTGACTGTTCAAAGTGAAGCAGCTCTCTGTTCTTGAGAAGGCTGGTAGTTGACAGAAATTGAAATCTGTGAGCATTCACAAAGAGAAGTTGCAGGTGGCAAGGCACCAGATTACTGTAGCAAGATCTTGTGCCTTGTAGCTTTCTGAAAAATCATGTGTCATAGACACTTTTATCACTGTGGAACAACGTCAGTTGTACTTCAGTTTGTCAGCATTGGAGAGACTATGTATGCCAAACTACCATAGCCAGTATGCATGAAATACCGTGCAGCTTCCCAACGTGCTTTTCGTCTCAAGTTACACAACTGAGCAGACTTATAAAATGGTTAGCAAAGTTGAACTCTGTTGAGTTACAGGATGAATGTGGTAAATTGGAGAGCATGTCCTTCAAGAGGGGTCTAGGAGAGCCTTGCTTATTTAGCCTAGCAAAGCTGAGGCTGACAAGGGAATAGAGTTCTTCTCGCTGCATTAATTGTGGGGAACTTAAGGAGGCGAGGAGAATATTGTTGGCATGAGGACAAGTGGATATAAGCTCATTTTAAAAGAATAAAAAAAAGTTAAATTTGGAAATTGGAAAAGTCTTCCTATCCATTAGAGGAGAGTTCTCTGGTAAGAATAGCAGGACAAAAAGTTGCTTTGACAATGGATTTTGATTGGGTTTATGAACTGAGATTACCTTACGTGAGAGAAGGGGCAGAATTGGATGACCCAGAACTTCTATTTAGTCTGGTTTCATTTGCTTAGAGTCAGTAGGCAGAAGTGCTAAATGGCCTCTTAATTCTTTTCTCTCCAGATGGTAGAGCTTGATGATTATTATAGACTCTTTCTCTTAGGAAGCACTGGGAACATCTTAGAATGTCAGGAATAAATATGTACAAATGCCTATATTTGTTCTGTAGATCTGATGATGTTTCAAATGTCTATGCTATATTGCAGAGAGGCATGATGCCCTGTATGTGGTAGGCTCCTTGGATGAAACACTGGAGCTCAGAGGAATGAGGTACCATCCCATTGATATAGAGACCTCTGTAATAAGAGCACATAAGAGCATTGCGGAATGGTAAGAACCTCAGTATTACTTTTTTTGTATCTTTTTATTTCTTCTAAAGGAGCAGAAGTCAAGCTTTGTGGAACAGCATGGTAAACTGAGAGCTTGCTGTAGTGTGAACTCACCAAAACTTTGCTTAGTAACTGCTGCAGAGAGTGTAAATGAAATAAAATTCTCCTCTTTCCCCTGCCTCCACTGGTCAAAAAAAAAAAAAAAAAAAAAAGGCAAGCCCACCCCTGTATCAGTTTGATCTTCATAGTCTGAAAGACAGGGAGGGCAGGGCATGAACAAGGCAGCACAGCACTTGCAAGTGTGTTGTTGACTTCCCTGGCTGTGCCAGAATGTACACGCTTGGACGATGGTAAACACATCTCAAGCATTTCTTGAATGATATCTTCTAACATGTGTTGTTCTCATTTGGTCCTAATGGATGATATATGCCATGTGGCTGTAAGTCCTCTTCAGTCTCAAAGTGGTAGTACTTACTTGTAAGCTTTGGGAGGTTTTGTCTTTCATTTAATAATGTCTAAAGATTTACATTAAGTACATTAATATCAAGTATGCACACAATGAATGTGAAATCTTAATGGTTCCCATTTTAATACAGAAGTGCACAGGACTTTTAAATACATGATTGATTGTGTATATAGAAGAGAAAAAGGCCTACTTATGGTACATGGACATGTACCATACAGGTACATGGACAATTAAAAAACAAGTGGCAGAGAATATCCCAAGAAGTTACAGCTTTAATACCCCTTGACTTACAGATATTTTCACATTATTGTTATATCACTTGTTCTCATTTATTTTATTGTTCAAGTCCTATATAATATTCAAGTTCTTGAACAATGTAATATTTATATTTCTGGCGTAATATTTAGTTTATTTCCAGGGAGCTTGTCTTGGCTAACTAGCTTCCTTTGACTATGTATTTTTTTTCTCACCATTAATATTTGTATCATGCTGACAGTGCTGTATTTACATGGACCAACTTGCTTGTGGTGGTTGTGGAGCTGGAAGGCTCAGAACAAGAAGCGTTGGACCTGGTCGCACTGGTAACAAATGTGGTTCTGGAAGAGCACTATCTCATAGTAGGTGTTGTAGTCATTGTGGACCCTGGTGTTATTCCTATCAATTCCCGTGGTGAGAAACAACGAATGCACTTGAGAGATGGTTTTTTAGCTGACCAGTTGGATCCTATTTATGTTGCTTACAACATGTGAAAACTGAAAATCACATCAAGGCTAAAGCACCAAAATCAAGTGACTGCAAAGAATAACATCAGAATCCATTTTCTGTGTTTTTAAAAGCCATTGAAGACGGAGATACTAATCTTCACAGACCTTCATATCTCGGATTGCATTTGCTTTCATAAATCCATTGTAACAGTTACAGCTGTCTTAGGATGGAGAGTTTACTGGAATTCCTGAAGGAAGTTTATTACAACTGTCATGGACCAATGTTTTTTTACAATAATTATGAATGTCAGTACTTGATGCACTGCATAAAAGGACATAAAGCAGGGTGGGAGAGAACACCAGCTGTGAGGAGGACTCTTGGAAATAATACTGAAAGTCGTGAGTAACCATTCAGAGTTGACCCTCCATGTGATTGTTTGCAATATGTAGGCAGTATCTGGGTTGGGACGTAACTTTCAAGGTTGCACACATCTCTACCATATTCTCTACTGTACGGAAAGGAATTTTGCACATAATTGAGATTTTAAAATGCAGCCTTTTTATTTTAAATCGTTGACTTGTCCTTATTCAAAAGAAACAAATTCATTCCAATCCCAGATTCAATATAACAACAATTATGCTGCTGTTCAGCCTTTTTGTACCAAGCAAAAAAAATAGTGCAACTGTAACAAGGTTACCTATTGTGCCATGCTGGACTCTGTAACGCTATAAACTTTATAATAAAATATAAGTTAATATCCAGCTTTAATTACTTGATGCAAGAGCCTTCACTGCTCTTGCTGTTGTAACTTCATGTTAAAGTTGCTTGTTTTCATGGCATTAGCTGTTAATTACTGCCCTGCATAACGCCAAGTATTTGAAAATTCATTCCAAAGCCAATAGTCTCTGGATGATTCATAGAAATGTTTACAGAGCATGGTCTTACAGTATGTTTTTTCCTGAATATCCTGTGCAAAAACTTACGATAGTGATTATTTTTTTTCCACTGTGGAAAAGATATTCAGTGTTAGTTACCTTGATTTGCTGTGATACAAACTTTCTTCCTTTTTCTTAGAGTTGTATTTAGACTTTTTTGTTCAAGCTGACATACCCAATGGGTTGAGTCATACTTGACTAATTGAGGTTTTGATGTTTCTGCCTGATCGAATACTGCAGTGAACCTAATTCAGAAAGAGAATGTTAAGCTTCTCAAATACTTCATGTATTTGAAGATAAGCATGAAACTAGCAAATAATTATTTTTATAGAGTTGTTAAAGACTTTGAGCTACATAAAATTTTTTTAATAATGCGTAAGTTTGGCAAAAGAGCCAGGTTTCTCTGCGAGGCAATTCTGCCTGGATCAGTGCCTAAGAAAGATGGATGTCAGTCTCTTGGTATAAGGATATCAAATTGACTCTTGGTCAAATAAACTATAAAATATTCAACAAAAAAATTTCATATATAGTAGTTCTTTGCCCTCATGGTGTTTGACTGTGGTATATTATACAGCTGCACACTCTACTATGACTGTAATTATGTACAGAACTTGTCTAACTTAAGTACAGCGACCTTTGGCAGTGGATTGTGGGATATTCCTCGTAACAAAACATCTGGCAAAAGGAAAACTACCTAACCCTAATTTTAATGTTGTAGTTTTTCAGCAAATAAAGTATTGTAGGATTTTTGTATTGAGATATTGATGACAGTGAGACAAGTTGCCCTGTAAATCTAAAACAAAAAAGCACATTAAACATTTCAAAACAGCTCTTGAAAATGACTTGCTGATTGTTGAAATTTAGGCTGTTAGATCAAAAATTTAGCTTATCTACAGTCCAGTTTTCCTTTGTGTTTTGGACAGTTCAATGCCTTAACAGCTTTTTCTGCAAAATTTCACTAGTTGCTTTACAATTAAAGCAACTGCACATGCGCGAAGCCTGGATGTTCTTGGATTTCTTATGTTTTCAGTACCCAAATGGAAACGCTCTCTGGGTTGACGCTCAGGTGTACCGCCCTGCCCTCACCTCCCTGCCCACAGCCGGCACCTGCCACACACCAGACGTTCTGAACTTGGGGGTGAGGACACAACGCAGCCCGTGGTGCGCCTTGACACGAACGCCTGTTGGGTCGGCGCAGCGGGGAGACAGGAGGGAGAGGAGCCTCCCCCGGGGGAGCGGCGCCGGGCCCACCGGCGGACGCGCCCTCCCGCCAAAGCAGAAGATGGCGGACCCCAGCCCGCCCTGGAGGCCCTGGCGCGTCGCTTCCTGGCGTCACC